AAGGCTACTTTGGTGTGGTCTGCGTAATGATACCAAAGTGGCTCCATTTGGATACAAAGCCGCATTTTTTAAAAGATGGTAACACGAAACCCAACTAAGTAATGGCATTAGCAGGAGAGAGAACAATAAACAGATGATCACAGAGAAACATTTGCTGAGAAACCTGTCTATTTAGAGTTTAGGTCTTTTAGCTGACTGATGTGGTCACCAGATATTATTCCAGAATTTTTCCATAAAAATATAACTCTAGATCATTTTATGGGCTCGGGTTATTTTAGGTCACACAAAGGTAAACCATTTCTCAAATAATTGTTACCAGTCATAATTTACTGTGTCTCTCCTGTGAAAGCTTTACCTTACCTTGCTCTGATCACCCAGGTTACCTTGCCCCAGGTCACCCAGGTCCACACAATGAATGCATATGGCAAGTACTTGTTTCCTTTTAAAGATTTTTCTAAAAGGTTACTAACCAGAGATTTCAATGTCATTGAGAAGCAGGAAGTCGGCAGTCTGTAAGGCATGACATGCTTCACAATTCAGTTCATAGAGAAGAAAATTTACAGTGGCATAGAGGTGTTAAATAAAAATTATAGGAGGTCATTGTTTTGGACTCAGTTGCTGCACTAGGCCCCAAAAGATGAGACTAAAAATCAAAACGGAGTCCCCCTCCCACCCCTGACAAGTTCCTCATCGCTTAGGTTGTGGTCTGACCTTCAGAGAGTTAGAAGAAAGAGGTGTAGCCAATTTCCAGAACACTCCAATTTCAATCTTCAAAAGGTATAATAATTAAGTTCCCTCTGCTTTTATCCTGACACAGAAGAGACTGTCTGAAGCAACCTGATATTAACTAATCAGTTATTTTCCTATTGTTCTGTCTTCCTGTCCTCACCTTACAAGGAAAGTAACTTTGAAATGACTAATCCATTTTTTGTTCTTTGTTTCTGCTTTCTTCAGCCTTTTTTGTCTATAAAGCCTCTGTTGTTTGTAATAAACTTAAGAGTACTTCTCTGACTCTGTGTAGGACAGTGTTTCCTGGGATGATCTTCATATTTAGCTCCCAATAAACTTAACAAAATTATTTCTGCTTCAACAGCCTTAATTTTCGTTGACAGAGGTAAGGGTCCAAGCAAGGGCTTCTCAGGGTGCTGGACATCCTCTGCCTAACGGGTCCCACCAGAGTCCCACCTTCTGCCTAATGGGCTCTCAGACTCTGTTTCCCAGGACTGCAAGACAGGTCAGCCACAGGCAACTCAATTCTGAAGGGACTTCCATCGGCAGGAAGCCTCACCCCGATTCTCTGGTCTTTATAAAGCTTGTGTAGCTACTCGACTAGGGCCTTAGATTTGAATTATTTCTAGAAATCTCCATTTTGCAATGTCTGCTGTTTTATAGCTATGTTATTGAATGTCTGCTGTTTTATAACTATGTTATTGACTACTCTACATAATAATAAATTCTGCTCAAATATGAGAAATCTTTAAGGGTCTTTCTTAAAAAACCCATTAAAATTAGTACATTAAAAAAATCATTTAACTGTAGGCACGTTTGATTATTTTACAAATTCAAAAGGTTAATTGAGATTTTAGAAGTAAGTGGTATGATAATTAAAGGTGAGATCTCTGAAAATTGCTGTACACACCTCTACTACCTTAACCACCACCTGGCCCACTGCTATACTGCTGGCTTTAAGAAAGTTTGGCTAAAAAAGACAAAAGCAATTACTTATCACCAAAGCAAGAGTTTATCCTTTCTGTCTGATTACTCTAAGGAATTTGAAAGGCCCTAATATGCTGCATATCAAATGGGATTAGTTCTGAATGAGAGCCTTTCTACTCACATATATTTATATGTTACAGGATAAATTACATGATTTTTAATATGACTCATTCACTAAATACTTATTAAGCACACACTGTGTCAGATGCTGTTCTAGGAGCTGGGAATATTCTGAGAAGTCAGACAACGGCCGTGGTGGGCACACCAACAATAAAACAAACAAGATAAACTAAGATAGTGATAGGGCTACAAAGAAAGTGAAACTAGGTAACAGGATAGAAACGTTTTTTTAGGGTGCTCTGAGAGTAATCTTCAGAGGAGACGACTGCATTGCACTCTGAGTAATGAGAAACCGCCAGCCTGGCAAAGATCTAGGGGGAGGGCATTCCAAGCCTAAGGAGCAGCTGGCACAAAGACCCAAGGGTGAGGGAGACTTGGCATTGCAGAAAGAACAGTAGCAGTGAAGAGACCAGTGTGGCTGGAGCACCATTGGACAGAGAGGAGGGACAGTTTACAGGTTGCTTCCATAGAGGAGTGGCCTGCCATCTATTTCTGGAGCTGCTGCTGCCCTGCCCATTGGGCCTTCTGTCTCAAGTCTGACCATGGAATGAGACCCGGCCATTCCAACTTATCAGCCTAAATGCCCACAGAGAGGGGGACCCAGCCCTTCCAACTCATCTGGCCTAAATGCCCACAGAGAAGGGGACTCAGACATTCCAACTCATCTGGGCTAACTGCCCGTGGGACACACCCCATTATTTTCAGGATTTTACATTAACCCTTACAGGGAAATAGATGAGGTCAGTTTAGCCCTTTTTCTCATTAGAATCTCATAATTAAATAGTAGAATGTTTGAGATAATGGACTGTACCTTTATTAATGCAAGTCAGTATCAGTGCTTGAAGCTAAACGAACTGAAGCAAACAGTAAAGCCTATAGGTAATATCATACATAATCCTCTCCCCGATTCCAAGTCCTCCTTAGCACACAGGTACTTCCTTTCCTTTAAGGTGATCCAGCTTCCCAGCAAGAGAATGTGGTTTAAGTAGAACGACAGGGCTGCCATTGGTCTAAAATATGCTATTTGCATTTTACAAAACCTCTGGAATGGGTGACTAGTGAAACCAGGTTAACTAAATTCCCCACCCACGCAGGAATGTCTCTCGAAGATAAGCAGTGATTTTCCTGAAAGTGGGCACTTTGGGATGGATGGGCATTCTTCCAAGAGTGAAGTCCATGATTTTCTGTAGAGGGTTAGAAATCTTGATTCTCATTTGATTTTGGAACAGGATTTTTAGGTAAATGCATATATGGGGTAAAAGTCCTTGTATTAGGAGGCCACAGCCTACAGATCGAGGGCAACAGCCCATCTAATCAACTCTAATCACTGCTTAGGTATGGGATTGTATACTTTA